GATTGCCAGAACCTGGAAACAACCTAGATGCCCCTCAACTGAGGAGAGGATAGAGAAAATGCTGTACATTCACACAATGAAGTGCAACTCAGCAGAAAAAAACAGTGGAACCTTGACATTGGCAGGCAAATGATGGCAATAGAAGAAACTATCCTGATTTAGGTAACCCAATCTCAAAAAGACAAACACGATATACACTCAATCATATATGGATTTGAGATATGTATCAGGATAAAGTCAGTCTGCAATTCCACTTACGGAGAGTCTGTGAAACAGAAAAGAAACTAAGGAGATATGCATGGTACCCCGGAGAAGAGGAATGAGGCAAGATCTCCTGAACAGTTTGGGAACATGGCAGAAGATGGGGAGGAGTGGGAGATTTGAAGAAGAGAAAGGGGGAGAAGAGTAAGGAAGAGTTGGTAATTGGGAAGAGGAAGGCTGAGAGTGAGGTAAAATAGAGGAAGAAAAGGATTAGAAATACAATAATAGATGGAGTCATAAGTTTGAAGAGGGATTTGGCACCAGTGAAAACACTAGCAATCTAAAAGGGTGACACAAACAGGCAAGCAAAGTGATAGTGGAAAGACTACCTTAAATGTCCATTACTGATAATGAACTTGACATGCATCTTATATGCCATCCTATCACCTTCATTCAGTTACTGATGGAAGCAGAGGCAAATATCCACAGTTAAACACTGAACGGAACCTGTGGAACTGAGTTACAGAGAGAAAGGAACAATAATCAAATTCGCAAAGAATGGGCTGGCAAAACCAGCAGAGACAGCTAATCTGAACAAGGCGGTAAGCTTGGACCCCGCACTGACAGCTGGGAGGCCAGAATGGGACTTATCATGACCCCCTAGGTGTAAGATTCAGTGAGCATTCCTGGGCAACCAATTTCGCACTGGGCAGTAGATCAGTGATTTTCCTACTGAGAACATGAGGCTCTTTCTAAGCAGTAACAATCAACAAGGTAGATAGAAAGACACCCCAAGGCAGGGATTTCAAAACATATTCAGCAATCACTGAGCTGTGCAATGGACAGGGCCTGAATGTCTGGACCCAATCAATGTGTCACACCTCCCTGAACAATCACTGCTCTGTTTCCCAGTATCTACTACTTGGAATTCTACAAAACAAGGCAGTTTTGATCAACAGTCTTTTCTCATGGGCTTAGTCCTAGGGAACTCCCAAAAGAAAGGGAGACCATAAGTTCATTGCCTTAACTGTCACTGATTTCCTAGAATTTCATGCTTTTAATGTTTGAATGCAGGGATAGAAAAGGTATGAAGCGCTTAATTTGATCTTTCCAGTTACCTGAAGATGAAATGACTGGGGCACCAAGTGTGCATCCAGCATAACTGAAATGTAGAAGAAAAAGATGGACATGAGCAGAGTGCTTATGCCTTGCAACTTTGACATCCAGAGTTTGTCCCAACAAGTGCCTTTTGAGGAAGGATCAGTGCTTTGCTAAAGAACAGAACCTGGACCTCACTGTATTCCCCACAAAGGGAAACAATGCTGTGTGAAGGAGGGCTTGTGAACTTGCCTATGAGAACGACCTGAGGAGACTAGGCCCACATTTCTTCCCTGTTATTTACCCTGGGACTCAGTGTCATGCTATTGAGTATGATTTTTATGTCATCACCTCTCTTAGTGACATTCATTGTCATCAGATTCCTGGGTCCTCAGAAGGCATAGCAATACCTGATAGGGGGGAAAAACAGTGCTGCTTTCAGGATGACAAAGACTATCTAGAAGGTAGGTCTCAGTGAACTTCAGACAAATGGTCAGGCAGCTTTAGGTTCCTTCAAATGATCATACAGAATCAGTTTTCGTAGTCAAGAAAAAAATTGGGAAATCAAAAGTTGACTCAATCCTTGTGTCCCACCTCCAGCAACAGTCACAGCTCTGATTCCTAATACCTATTAGTTGTAATTATACATGACGAGGCAGAATAAATTACCATTTTTGACTCCTGGGCTTAGAACTTCAGGTTCCACAAAAGGAAGCAAGAGCAAAAGTTCTGTGCCCCAAGTATCACAGGAATCCTAGAAGGTCATGGTTTTTAATATTTGAAGGCAGAGATCTAAAAGAGATGAAGGCACTTAGCATGATCATGCCTCTTACCTGAATAGCTCATGACTGGGGTGAATAATCAGGATGCTGGATCACTGAAATGCAGAAGGGAATAGAATGATGTGAGTAGAGTGCTTATGCCTGGCAGCCTTGATATATATATTGTGCTTCAACAAGTGCCTTCTGAGGCAGTCTGAGTGCTCATCTAAAGAAGAGCACCTGGACCTCACAGGAATCCCCAGATAGGGAACCAATGTTGGGTGAATGAGGTCCTGTGTACTGCACTATGATAAAAGCCGGATGATACATAGCCCTCATTTCTCCCTCTGTCCTTTAGCCTGGGCCTCAGCGTAATCCAAGTGAGCATGATTTTTATGTCATCACCTCTCTTCATGACATTGGTTTGTCATCATAGACCCGTGTCCTCAGAAGGCATAGGTATACCTGATAGTGGCACATAAACTGTACTGCTTACCAGGATGACAAAGACCATCCAACAGGTAGATCTTGGCGAGCTTCCGGCAAATCGTCAGCTGGCATTAGGCTCCTGCAAGGGATCAAGCAGAATTAGTCTTCTTAGTCAAGGAAAGTTTTGGGGTGCCAAAATGGGAGGTTACTTTCAGTAGAATCACAATCCCATACTTTGGAACACCCAAACTCTCTAGCACAATAATTAGTGGCAATTGCTAATCTCGGCCATGGGGTAGATAATGAAACATTATAATAGTGGTTACCTGTTTGCCACCCTTAGACAAGTTTAAACCTTCTCTTGTTTCACATTCATCATCACTAACTGCTTTCATAGATTTGGTGACAGACAATTGTGAAGGCGTGCTATAGGTCTGGTGGAAACATTCTAGCGTCTGATCATTCACTGTGTCATAAATTGTCCAACCTCTCATCTGATGTTGTATAAATATCCCTATCCCATATCTCAATGAAATCACTCCCTCATCACCATCGTAAGATTCTTATCCTCAAGGTTATTTATTGCCCAAGCACTACACCTGAATACCTACACCTGAATCTTGGCCCATTCCATATCACATATGCAATGGAATACCTGGGAACTTGGGATGTCATGCATGTGTGTGAAATTCCAGGCCACTGATGTTTAGTGAGTGGGTCTCCATAGGATTATAAGCCTGTGAATCTAGGCAAAGGGAGAGAATACCTGTTGATCTTTACACACTTACCTGAATGTGAAATGATTAGGGCACCAAGTATATTATGAAAAAGCAATGATTGTAACAACATAGTATATTATCTCCCAATGTTGGTAATTAGTGACAGGAAGAAGAGACTGCAGCCTCTAAAATTGTAGATAATGGTGCCGGGGAATCCTCCCTTCTCTTGTTCTCTTCCCCAATATAGGAACATCACAAGTATGGCCTAGGAGATGCTCAGTGATGATTTCACTGATTCAACATCTTTCAATTATTTCCCCTAATTTGCCATTAGTCAGTGCCTTTAGAAAGTAGTAGATTGTATGTTGCTGTTAGTATTACAGTTAGTGTATCATAAAGTAATGTGTCAAATGATATGACATGTTTGCCACACCAAGAACTATTGTAACCTTAAAGTTTTGGGGAACAAAGCCAGTCTGCACAGGTATCTGTTAGGTTTCAAAAGGGAGGAGTGCTACCCACAGTTGGGAAATATCCCTGTTGTCAAGAGGACCTCCATTCTGGACCTCAGAATGGCATAGTCATGAGTCCATCACTGTGCTCAGAGACTTTTTGTCATCATTGATCCAGACAAGCGCCCTCTCAACACAGGAGTTTTTCCATTGTCACAGGAAAGTTGGAATAGCTAGTCTCTTTTACTTTGATGTGTATGGTAGGGATGGCGCAGATGTCTTGTTGCTCAGCTTCTGAACAGTGTTACTGAACAACATGTAGAATGCACATTTGGGCTACTGAATGTTCAAGTATACATCAGCTGAAAAAATTTCTATGTCCAATTTGCCTGCTTTATTGATATGACAGAGAAAATTCACAGAGCTTTTGATGGGACCAATTTATAAACTGAAGCCTGTTTTATATAAAAATGTATAAAATATTAAAATATCTAATCAAAAATGGCAAATGTTAACCTCTAATTCAAATAAGCATTCAAATTTTTTTGTATTTCATGAGAATGTGTTCATCATGAGAGGCTTGCTATATTTATCTTCCTCCTCTTTCTCTTCACCACGATTATTTTATCCTTATCTCCCTCACGAAACCATTGAGTTTCTTCTGTGACACACAGTCGTAATGGAATGTCTGTTTTATCATGCATCTGTCAAATATATATATATATATATATATATACATATATATATCTCCTGAAATGTGCATTACATTGCCATTACTTTCATGCATGTACATCTGGTAGGTAATGTTGACAGTAATATCAAAGCATTTTTAGTGCAGGTCTTGTGGTTTATAGGTTTCTGTCTGGATATGGTCTCTCCATTTTACACTACCATGTTGTAATTGTCCTCTGAATTTCTAAAAGTTCTGTTGCAAGGAGCCGTAAATTGGAAAGTTTTTTATGTAATATTTATTCTTGCTTATTTGTGTGATCATGAGGCTCCTGAGATTCTCATTATACTCCAACTTTGTGAAGAATTACAAAAAGGGTATCTCCTGGAACTGCAGCATGCTTGAATTGCTCTTGGATGAATGAGAAATCTGGAGCCTGCTGAGCAGACCTGCCTAAACCAACCCCCAGTCAGGGAAGAAGGCAGAAGGCAATAGCAGAAGGCAGAGGACAGATGGCACAGGGAGAGAGGGCAGAGGGCAGAGGACAGTGTGGGCTCTAGGCCCCCTTTCTGGTCACAATACCCTTCTCCTTGTGAATGAGAGTCCCTGTACTGGCATATTAAAAGGTCCAAGGAGAAGATTTCCCCATTTCTCACTTGTCTAGTAGGCTGAGCTTCAGCGTAATCCTATTGATCATGATTTCTATGTCATCAGCTCTTTTTGAAAATTAGTACGTCATCTTAGACAAAGGTCTCAAGAAGTCATAATTATACTTGCCTAATCACCATAAGATGGAAACAATCAAAGTTCTTAATTTCCAAGCACCGTGAGCTTAGAATGCCTACACACGTTCTCTTGGCATATTCTTTATCACATGAGCAATGAAAGCCTTTGCAGCTTGGGACATCTTACATGTGTTTGAAATTCCATGCCATTGATGTGGTGAGTGGGTGTCCACATAATGATGAGACTTTGCATCTAGTCAAAGAGGGTAATGCCTGGCCAGAAGCACCCTGCGAAACTGCCTCATATTTCCTGATGCCTGCATGACATGACAGGTTCACTAATCCTAACAAAAAGAAAAGGTAAGTGTTTGCCTTACTGATATGTATATAAGTGCACTAGAAACCTGGGAGTATGCTTCTGTCTTATGAGCCCAAGAAATGTAACCTATTGATATCTTGCTATTCCAGGGCCTGCATAGTCTACATTCCTGAGCGACACCTTTGTTATTTCGGAGCCTTTCAACAGAATTATATCCATTTGCAATCTATAAGATTTCTGAGTACAACATGCTCCTCATTAAATACACATGTTATAAAAAACGTGAACCTTGTTCTTCCCAAGTTGGTTGTCAAAAACTACTCGTGTGACTTTGACTGCATCATCAAATAGTAAAATATACTCCATATGTTACCATGATAACAATATGTTGTTTCTGATTCGCTCAGAATTTGGAAGTGGATTAAAGTGGTTTGTGAATGGTGAGATGACCACTGCCATCCAGATATATTTAGTTAGAAGTACAGAAAAACCATTATTCTAATATCATGGCAAATTATCTCCTTTTGCTGGTAATTGGGGACAAGAAGAAGAGAGTACATGCTCCAAAATACTCGGTTATGTTAGCAGGGATTCCTACAACATCAGTTTCTCATTTCCCCTATACAGGAATGTCACAGAACTGGGCCTGTGAGATGCTCGGTGATGATTTCACTGCTTCCACAACTTTTACTTCTTTCTTTCAAGATGGCTTCAGCCAATGGTGTAAAACATGTTGGAGTGAATGCTGCTTTTTGACTTGAATTTCATTTTTGTTTTCTGTATGAGAACTGTGTACATTAACACTATTCCAGGACAAGTTTCTCTATTCAGTTTCGTTTTCTTTAAACATTTTCAGGCACAGGCATCTGTCAGTGGCTTAAAAACATGCTGGGCTGTTTGTTGCAGTTTGTATTATAGTTAGTATTTCATAAAATCATGTATCAAAGGACATGAAATGATTACTACAGAAAGAAATATTTTCCCTTAAATTTGTGCTGACAAAGCCAGTGTGCACTGATATCCCCTATACTTCAAAAGGGCAGAGTACATGCTACATTCAGGAAATATCATTGTTGTCCAGAAGAACTCAGTTTGGCATGTTCATGAGTCGATCAATGTCCTCAGAGACGTGTTCTCATCATTAATCCAGACAAGACCTCTCTTAACTCATCAGTGTTTTCAAAGCCTCAAGAAAGCTGCAATACGTGGAAACTTCAACATTAATGGATGATCAGGACTGTTCAGCTGGCTTGTTACACTGGGTCTGAATACAGGTGCATATCAACAGCAGAATGAACATATAGGCTCCTGGATCTTTTTTTGAATCTTATTATTCATTTATTGGGATTGGAACTAAGAGCATTTGGGAAGTCAATACTTCCTAACTTGATTCCAGATAAGGACAGTATAATGGAGAAAGACAGAGACTTGGAAAATATATTGAATTTGGACAGAGACATCTTACTATACAAAGCTAGGCCAAATTTAATTAACAACATCTACCAAAATAAAAGAACCTGGCCAGGCATGATGACACAGGCCTTTACTATCTCGGCCCTTGGAGAATAGAGACAGGCAGAGTTCTGTATGTTCAAGGTCAACCTGGTCTAAATAGTAAGTTCCAGTTTGTAGTGAGAGCTACAAAGAGAGACCCTGTCTCTAAAAATAAAAGAACCTTAGAGAACTATAACTACAATAAATTATCAAGTAAATTTCCATTTAAAATGTGAAAGAAATACACATTGCATTTTTTACAATGCTGGGGAATGGAACTCAGGCTCACCCAATATCATGCCAAATTCTGCTGCTGAGTTGCACCTCCAGCCCTGATAACAATACATTTTAATTGACTTATTCAGAGTAGTTTTGGGACACAGCAAAATGGACCATAAAAATGACTATTAATGCTCCATGCTTCCTTCCATATCTTTCCCCACTAATAATATCCTCCATCAAGGCAATACACATCGTCCAACCGATGAACCCACAAAGCTATCACCCAAAGCACATACTATATGTTATGATTTACTCTGCGTGTCAAGGGTATAATGACATATGTCCAGTATTAAAGCATCATTCACAATAGTTTCACAGTTCTCAAAATCCTCTGTATTTTATGGTTCGTTTGTTTTTTATTATTTATTTTTAAATTTAAATTTCAATTAGAAACAAGGTTGATTCATATGGGCTCCAGCATCTTAAAGCATATATGAGCTGAAAAAAGATCACTGTCCAATGTGATAGCATTTTAACAAGAAAGAGGAAATTCACAGAGATTTCATGGGGCAGAATTTAAAAAAAAACTGGGCTTTACCAAAAATTAATCATAAAATATTTTAAAACACACACAGGTTATGGCATCTATACCAAATTGTTAGTTTTGAATACTTCTATAGATGGCTGTAGATCATAATGAGAATGTGTTCAGAGAAAGGATGTCAGATATACTTTTTGATACTTATGTAATTATTAAGATAATTCTGGAAAGTCAAAAGTTCTTTGGAGTGTATAATAATGAATTTTATTCCTTGGGGGTGGTGCTGGAACCATACAGAGAAAAGGTGTTATAGATGCTTTTCTATACATAGATTTCTTTCCAGAATATTTGACAATGGCACTTGAAATTTTATGAGAATTATGTCTGGTGAATAGTATCCACATGTTGCTGAGCCTGTGCATGTAGGCCAAGAGTGGAATGCCTGGACAGTTGCAAAATGTCAAATTGCTTCATGTGTCCTGATGCCTGATTGGCAGGACAAGTTCACTAATCCTAACATTAGAAAAGGTACCTGAATTTGCCTTACAACTGTGTACATTAGTCCGCTAGAAAACTGAGTCTCTGTCTCCTTTTTGACCCTCAGAAATGTAACATAGTGATCTAGCTGGAGTCCTGGGCCTTCACACTGGACACCCCTGAGCAGTATCTATGCAATATTAGAGCATGAAAACATCTTGGCACAGTGAGCACATGAAGTTCTTGATAAGGCCGCAACATTCGGTAAGGAAGATATTTGAAGAATACTTTCACCTATAAATGAGCTGTGCAAGGAAAATGGACTGAACCTCTTGACCCATTTTCTGTGTCCCACCTTTTTGAAAATTCACTGCGCAATAATCTAATATCTACTAATTGGAATTCTAAATAATGAAGAATCCTTAATTTCCATTCGTTTTTCATGGTCTTAGTCCGATGGTATTCCCAAATGGAAGGGAGAGCCCAAGCTCTCTCACTTAAATTTCACTGGATTCCTAGAATGTCCTGTTTTATAATGTTTGAAGTAGGATATCCAAAGGAGACCAGGTACTTCAGCTGATATTTCCACGTACCTGAATGTGAAATGATTGAGGCACCATGTCCGCATCTTCGTTCACTGAAATGCAGAAGAGAAGAAATGGAAATGATCAGAGTGCTGATGTGGGCCAGCTTGACATACATAGATTTTGCCAATAATGCCTTCCTTAGCAGGACTCATGCTCCCCTAAAGATGAGCAATTGGACTTAAGAGGATTCACCAGAAGGGAAAAATGTTGGGTGAATGAGGCCCCTTACAATGGCCTATGTTGAAGGCCTAATGGGCCTATCCTCCATTTCTCCCCTGTCCTTTATTCTGGGCCTCAGCAGAACCATACTGAACATGATATTGTTGTCATCACCTCTCTTCATGACATTTTTTTGTCATCATAGACCCGTGTCCTCAGAAGGCAATGCCAAATCTGCTAGTGGGAAACAAACAGTGCTGCTTACCAGGATGACAAAGACCAACTATCTAGAAGGTAGGTCTCAGCAAGCTTCACACAAATGGTCAGCGGGAATAGGACTCCTGCAGGGTATCAAGCAGAAACAGTTGTCTCTGTCAAAGAAAATTTTATGGTTCCAAATTTGCAAGTCAGTGTCTGCAGAATTGCAATGCTCAGGTTTAGAAAGCCCAAATCGAGATTATGATGATTGGTTGCATTGATAATCAGTGCTTTTTGGTAGATAAAGATAAATTGCAAATGCGGTTACCTGTTGCAAAACCTATCCAGGTTTACCCTTCTCTGCTGTCATCCTCATCCTCACTGCAAGCATAAAATTCATGATGTGACAGACAATTGGAAGGGCACATTATAGGACTGTATAAAACATTTTACCATCTGATTATCCACTGTGTCTTACAAGTTCGAAGACTTCTCATCTGCTCTGCACAGAGCTATACTATTTCCCTCTCACATCACTGAGTAGTCACGATTGAAGGATGCATAAACTCAAGTTTCTTAATTGCCCAAGCACCCCATGCATAGGATCACTTCACCTGTTCTTATGTCCAGTTAATTATCACATGAAGGATGGTGGACTTTATAACTTGGGATGTCATTCATATGTTTGAAATTTTATGAGAATTATGTGGGGTGAGTAGTATCCACAAGTTGCTGAGCATGTGCATGTAGGCCAAGAGTGGAATGCCTGGACAGTTGCAAAATGTCAAACTGCTTCATGAGTCCTGATGCCTGATTGGCAGGACAAGTTCACTAATCCTAACATAAGAAAAGGTATCTGAATTTGCCTTACACCTGTGTACATTAGTCCGCTAGAAAACTGAGTCTCTGTCTCCTTTTTGACCCTCAGAAATGTAACATAGTGATCTAGCTGGAGTCCTGGGCCTTCACAATGGACACCCCTGAGCAGTATCTATGCAATATTAGACCATGAAAACATCTTGGCACAGTGAGCACATGAAGTTCTTGATAAGCCCGCAACATTCGGTAAGGAAGATATTTGAAGAATACTTTCACCTATAAATGAGCTGTGCAAGGAAAATGGACTGAACCACTTGACCCATTTTCTGTGTCCCACCTCTGTGAAAATTCACTGCGCAATAATCTAATATCTACTAATTGGAATTCTAAATAATGAAGAATCCTTAATTTCCATTCGTTTTTCATGGTCTTAGTCCGATGGTATTCCCAAATGGAAGGGAGAGCCCAAGCTCTCTCACTTAAATTTCACTGGATTCCTAGAATGTCCTGTTTTATAATGTTTGAAGTAGGATATCCAAAGGAGACCAGATACTTAAGCTGATATTTCCACGTACCTGAATGTGAAATGATTGAGGCACCATGTCCGCATCTTCGTTCACTGAAATGCAGAAGAGAAGAAATGGAAATGATCGGAGTGCTGATGTGGGCCAGCTTGACATACAAAAATTTTGCCAATAATGCCTTCCTTAGCAGGACTCATGCTCCGATAAAGATGAGCACTTGGACTTAAGAGGATTCACCAGAAGGGAAAAATGTTGGGTGAATGAGGCCCTTTACAATGGCCTATGTTGAAGGCCTAATGGGCTATCCTCCAATTCTCCCCTGTCCTTTATTCTGGCCCTCAGCAGAACCATACTGAACATGATATTGTTTTCATCACCTCTCTTCATGACATTGGTGTCATCATAGACCCGTGTCCTCAGAAGGCAAAGCTATATCTGCTAGTGGGAAACAAACAGTGCTGCTTACCAGGATGACAAAGACCAACTATCTAGAAGGTAGGTCTCAGCAAGCTTCACACAAATGGTCAGCGGGAATAGGACTCCTGCAGGGTATCAAGCAGAAACAGTTGTCTCTGTCAAAGAAAATTTTATGGTTCCAAATTTGCAAGTCAGTGTCTGCAGAATTGCAATGCTCAGGTTTAGAAAGCCCAAAACGAGATTATGATGATTGGTTGCATTGATAATCAGTGCTTTTTGGTAGATAAAGATAAATTGCAAATGCGGTTACCTGTTGCAAAACCTATCCAGGTTTAACCCTTCTCTGCTTTCATCCTCATCCTCACTGCATGCATAAAATTCATAATGTGACAGACAATTGGAAGGGCACATTATAGTACTGTAGAAAACATTTTACCATCTGATCATTCACTGTGTCTTACAAGATCGAAGACTTCTCATCTGCTCTGCACAGAGCTATACTATTTCCCTCTCACATCACTGAGTAGTCACGATTGAAAGATGCATAAACTCAAGTTTCTTAATTGCCCAAGCACCCCATGCATAGGATCACTTCACCTGTTCTTCTGTCCAGTTAATTATCACATGAAGGATGGTGGACTTTATAAATTGGGATGTCATTCATGTGTTTGAAATTTTATGAGAATCATGTGGGGTGAGTAGTATCCACA